ATTCTACTAAAACAATTAGATTATTCCCTCTCGATTTCTATGAGGCGATAGTTGGTTCGGCCTACGGCATCATGAACTATCACCTCATAGAAATCTCGAGCTCATGATCTAATTGTTAAATCTTGACAAAGCAGGTTTATCATTGACGAAGCATAATGTCCCCGCGACGCCGAATATCGACGAATAGGTCAACAGAAATTTAAGGTTTAGTTTTGGTTAAAAACTCGGCTGTACATTATCAACAAAGCTCAGCAGAGCTGATAGAATCGAAATAGAAAATTACTATTACTGTAAACCAGCCACGTTACTTTTGGATTTAATAGTACTGTACACTTTTCTTATCGCTACTTTCCCAGGGTCACTTTATGGAGTACAGTGTTATTTTCACAAAACCATGACAAACTCAAAGACAACCTAAAAACGCTGCTTTGAAAAAAGCCCTCGATGGAATCAATCGTTGAATCAATCGTTGTCCTTCCTGCAGCTCTACTTACACTATGTTTACGCTATAAGAAAAAGTTCCTTGTGTCTCTTGATTATCTCTAGTTACCGCTATATAATGATATTTCGAGCCATACCATGAGAAGGGTACGTGGAGAACTTAATTCTCCAAAACGCGCTCCGATCAGCCTAAGTATCTGTCCGCACGCCGTTGAATAATCAATAGGTTTTGTTAAGTCTAAAATAATGTCGCTGAAGACATCTGGTTTTCGATACTTTTTTCGTACAACAGTAGATAAAACTGGGTCACTAGTATCATACAGGCCATATTCCAAAGTTATACATTTAGTCTCATGTTATTGTTTTAGTTTCTACTTCATCATTTTTCAAAACGTTAACGCAGCGTGCTTCAACCAATCACAGCGAAGTATTCTCTTCTCGACCAATCAGTTGTAGAACCAAGCCAGCCGTAAAGTGTCACTTTTCCCGCGGTTTTTACAAGCTGCTTCGCTTGCATGTTTAATTTCCGCGCTTTTCACAGAATACACCGGGGATGTTTTGATTAAGCTACTGGGTCAGGTTGCTTGACGCTAACCCAGGATAAAAAGTTAACCGAAGTATTAATTTTTTTGTATATACTTTGAGACAAGAGATTGTGATAAAACACTCCGGACATTTGAGAACACTCGAGAAACGTAGAAAACACTCGCCTGCGGCTCTTGTTTTCTACATTTCCCTCGTGTTCTCAAATGCCCGTCGTTTTTTTTATCACAGTGTAATACACGGCTTAGGCTTCTTTATTTGTTAAATAAATAATTAAATAAATAAATAAACTCTGATAATACATATATAAAAATATATGAATTATAAAAGAGTATGATATAAAAATATATAGTTTAAAAGTCTATTGATTCTTAGCTTAATAGGGAAGTAACTTAGTGTTAAAACCACTCAGGGAGTTTGACTCAGCTATTTCCGCGGGCAGTTTTTTCCATAGTTTTTGTCTTATGGTCCTTAAGAGGAAAGAATAAAGAGAGCGGCGGTTCTTGTGGCGGCTCCACCACTCTAGGCAACCGATGCAGTATCAGCGATGACTGCAGCAAAACCACGTGCAAAATGGATTTTGTTGAGAAGCCAATCACACTCACACTAGAGGTACTCACATCAACATCATGAAACGTATTGTCCAAAACAATTCTGGAATTTTTTCTTGCTCAGTATTCTTACTTTATTCCTCATTAATTCCCCCCTTCCCCCAATCAGCCCCTCTTGCCCCGGTCAGCCCCCCCTTCCCCCGGTCAGCCTTATGAGTCAAAGTGGCTGCTGATTTACGCAGCTTAACCATAATGAGTTTGAATTGGTCTCTAACTTTTTTCATTGTTATCAACAGTTTCATCGTCAAGAGCACGTCAGGCCTTTGAAAAGGCTCTCTTGTAGGGTTTAGTATATGATAAGAGAAAGCTGTTAGCGAAAAGAGCCGAGCGGGATAGACGGGGTTTGTGAGGGGAAGGAGGTTAGGGAGGGCATGGCTTATTCTCAATCAAAGCAATCTTAGTTTCTACGCTGAGAAAAAGGTCGATCTAAATTGCGGCATTCTCTGTTAATTGGTTAATTCCAGTTCAAAATGTTAATTATACTTGTTAGCTAATTACTTGTTGTAATGTGTACCATCACAAAGCAATGTCGAGAATTTGACGCCACATCCAGATGATCCGAATAAAACATACATCGTGCTCTTTGAAGAGATTAATTGATATTAATTTCATTACCCGTTAGGTCAATAAGTGTGATGACCCAGTGAGTGTAACCGCCAAAATGGGCGGCTGGTCTCATACTTACACCAGTGACGACATTGTAGAAGTACCAGGCTTCACCGCTACCTTGCCTTCTTTCTTGTCCGCTGGTGTATACGTACAAGTCGCACTTACTCCTAACGGCGACGAGCTACGTCTAACGGTGGGTTGGTACTTTGTGTAAGACTCATGATGAGTATACAATCGTGATATTTTTCTTCAGCTGCAGAACTCTACTCAAGTCGCGTGGTTCCCAAGCTTCGCGCGGCTAAACGCACATTGTACGAAGTTGACGTTCGTATGATTTTGATTAACCTCTACAGTTCACTGTGTTAATTACACGCAAGAACAGTTTATAGAAGGAATTTATCTTGAAAGGAAAAGGAAATCTAAGTAATTTATCTTTTGTTGAGAGTAGTTTTTACAAATTCCGTTGAATTGAACATTTTTTTTAAAATCGAAACTCCATAAAGATTTCCCGCACTCAGCAGGCTAACGTGAAGACCAGCAGAAAATTTCGCAGCATTGGGCACAATAGGCCTTTTCACGGTTAACCTTTTTTATTGGCATTACACTATAATTCAAAATGTATGTGAGGCAATTTCTGGCAATTTTGTAGTTTCTGCCCGAAATTGCATCGGATCCACGTTGTATTACATTGTAATGAAAATGAGAAAAGTTAACCATGAATTGCGGGACAGTATTTCATGAATGAAGTCACTCAGCTGTATGCATGCACTCTCGGCCAATGAGAGGGCAAAAGATCTGACATCAGTTTTGTCGTCTGTTAACAGGTGAAACTCCTGGCTGGAGGAAAGATTATGGGAAAAGGCAATTATCCTGTGAAAGCGACCGTGATGGAAGGAGACTTGCCAATTAATACCAATGCGTGTGGTACGCATGCATAAGTCTTAAAGCAAATAATATTCCCCTAACTGAAAGAGACTATCCTTACCATATAACAAGCGTTTTATGATGCCACTTCAGACCTAAAAAAATTGTAATATTTACTTCTCTATGGCTAACCGCAAGCAAACCAGTGTGAATATGAACAATTAAGCATTTGGTGAGTGCATTTCACTCCATCAACAAATTATAACCAGTTTCTACCCTGTCCAGGCCTAAACTAAATCAGATATGGCAGCGGCCATTCTGAAAGGTTTGGTTACCAATGATGGTATCGAGCGTTTACGAAACGGAAATCAGTCACGGGGGTACGTTTCCATAATGGGCTCTGTAAATTTCTGCGAAACATTTCGACGAACATCTCAAGTTTGGGAAAACGCTCAGACCTAAATCTTGGAGAAGTGTCTTCTTTATGAATCTCTTATAACATCACAATATCTTGACTTTACCCACTGGATGGTTTTCGATTTATTTTTTTATCGCGTGTCAGTGAAAACGATCCATTGTGAATTTATCATTGTAAACTGAGCTTGTAAACGTTTTTTTATTTAGGTTTCTTTGGATGGTGGTATGGCATGTCTGTTGTGGGTAAGGGATCCATGATTGGTGGCTCTCTTGTCTTCATCATCATCATGATCATCTGCTGCTGTTGCTGCTGCTGCAGGTCCAATCGACCGAACTACTAAGGGCCCATTATCGTGCAACCCGTTTATGAGCCTTCTGTCATGGCAGCCAGCACTAAGAGTATCGTTCCTATGCGAGCGCTTGTGAACGAGGCTGTGTAAAAGGAATTGTTTTTCGTTTTTAAATGTCTCATTTAAATTGTTTATGGCTTTTAAATCACTTATGATATGCATGTATATGATGTGGAATATCTGGTATGAGGTATGTCACTCACAACTCTAAATCCGTAATTTGATTTGTTTCTGAATTCATCGAAGCTGTTTCTGGGCCATTTAGGAGTTTAGCCGATAATGAATCTTTAATCTGTTGATGTTGATCCGTTTACAACTAAGATTTTGATTCAAGTAGTTCTTAATTCACCTCTCATATTGTGGAAAGAAATGTAGTTTATGTGGGTACTATCTAGCATTTTAAATTCAACTAGTTATGTAGTTCAGGGGTTAGCATGTTTGCTTTGAAAATAGATTAGTAAGCCTCGAGGACATTTTCTAAAGGAAGTGTTGTAATGTTTGCGTGAATGTTTGATAATAAAAAGCTGCACAGAGAGAGTTACACGAACTCTCTTTAGGAGATTTAACTGTAAAAGAGTGTATCAGTTCTTCTAGCAAACAGATAAACCCCGCAACAACGAAATCAGCACATCCTTAGCTTTACGTTGTCCCTGCTGTTGTGGTCTATAAAACGCCACCGTGTAGACGTATCGGTGTTCTGTTTGCTTCTATATTTTCGATTTAAACCTCGAAGCCATTGAAAAATTCCAAGCGAACGAAAGGGGTCAAAGCGCGACTTACAGTCAACCTTCCATTCGCCCCAGAAAACTTCCAGAAATCCACACCGGAATTTATGGTCGAATGGAAAGCGCTCCTTGTTTTGATAGAGACCTCACTGCTTTTATTGTGTAAATCAAGTTGATCTGATGCTAACTAGTCTAAATTACATGAGAAAAGCAGAAACGTTGGTATCAAAGCAAGGTGACCTGGAGTCTCACTTGCATTCATAGGCCAGGTAACTAAGCACACAATTTTAAAATGGCCTATTGCGTGCGTAGCCTTTTGGAAAAGGGTATTTTACAGAAAAAGAAAATATCTAAGTATGGGTTAAGGTCGGCGCACACGAGGCGATGAGTCCTTGTAACAAGTTGTAGGGACAAGTTCCTTCGTGTGAACCAACAACTTTTGTCAAAAATCTATTCGCGGGAACTGAAATTAAAGACCCTTCGTGCGAGCTATGGGACAAGCCCCTGTGACCAAATTAAAGTAAACCAGTCACAGATCTGCACGATAAGATCCCATAATTCGTTATGACGTCTGTTTCGAGATGATGATTCATGGCTCGGCTCGGCAAGACGATGTTGATATTGAAGTAGCAGCTTGGAATGTTAATGCCACATGAAATCGGAAATCGGAAAAATGCAAGCACTGAATAATTTATAATCTGCAGTTTTTTTGCGCTGATTTATTTCAATGCTACATTAATGATTTAATAATTTCGGTTTCATGTTGGGAAAGTAGCAGAGTGAAAGAATGATACGCTTTGCCTTTAGTTTTTGCTATGTTTCTGTGCAATTAGCCTCCGTGTGTAATAGTCCTTGCAGCCAGTCCCCTCGTGGAATCTAATTTCCAGCTCTTTCCATCAGTTAAACTTTGATCGATCAATACTACCACTATGAAGATATGATTGATCATCGCAGTTANAAAAAAAAAAAAAAAAAAAAAACAGGTCTGAACGGGATTCGAACCCATGACCATTGCGATACAGGTGCAGTGCTCTACCAACTGACCTATCAAGCCAACAGGGAGCTGGGCACTTTGTGAGTTCGTAGTATACCCGTAGAAGGTAAAGAATACATATATCTTATTGGATGTTTTGGTGTGCAGTATCGCTGTATATTTTTACGAGTTGTGCCGTATTTTGACGAGCCCGTAGGTATGGGGCGCCGAACCAGTCAATATTCCCTAAATTTTTCTATGGTCTGTTTGACTTTCTACATGCTCAACTCGACTTTTTACATGTTCAACTCGACTTTTTGTATGGTCAATTAATTACTTTTTATATGGTCAAATAATCACTCTTTATATGGTCAACTAATCACTCTTTATATGGTCAACTGATCACTTTTTATATGGTCAGCTAATTACTTTTTATATGGTCAAATAATCACTTTTTATATGGTCAACTAATCACTTTTTATATGGTCAACTAATCACTTTTTATATGGTCAACTAATCACTTTTTATATGGT